AGGTCGATTCTAACTCTTTGAGACAATAATTGAGGCAATAACTCTTTGAGACAAAGGAATTAACAATATTAATAATAATAAAGAAAAAAAATAGTAATAATAACTATAGCTATTTAAATCTAGCATTGATCCCTTGCCCTCACCCCTAAAACCTCGCATAGCCTTATGAAGACAAGAAAAAGGAGGACAAAAAAAAATAATGTAAAATGAGACCATGAATCTATTGACTATATTTTGCAGCATAGTCTTGTTAATGACATGTATATTCAGTGAAGAAGTACAGGTCTTTCCAATGTCCTTCAGATCGACTAACTCGTGTTTAAGCACTGTGATTAATTGATCAAGATCCATGGATGATGGCTGCTCTGGGTCGACAGGACTAATATTTCTTTCCTTCAAACCGATCACCATCTTTGGAAGGTTATTGACGTTCTGGAAAACAACTACGGTGCGGGGTTAAGCTACACGGTATACGATCATTACATCTAAGTTTGTTCTTTATGAGTTGATTCCTGTTAATTTACGAACCGTGTACATCAACAGCTGATATAATGAACAGCTGCGTAAGATTTGTAATTGGTGCCCCGAGATACTCCCAAGTGTCTCACCACTACACTGAGTTAAAGTGGGTCTTCCCCTCCATTTGAAGGCAATATTTCCTCGGCACATTCCTTTATCAAATCATCAACAATCGTCGTCCTTCTCACGCCTACAACCTTCTCCAATTCAAGTCCTCAGTCCACTCCCTTTTCACATGATCTCGACCTTCCGACCTTTACATTCCTTCTCACAGATCTGCCTCGTTCCAAAACTCCTTTATTGCTAGTTCTGTTAATTTATGAAATTCACTTCCTATCAAAATTCGGCATTCTCCCTCCATATCTACATTTAAAACCCTCCTATTCCAATTTCTATCACCAAAAACAGTCAGACACCCCCGCTAACCTTCTATGTAAAATTACATATTATTCAAAATGATTCACATAATAATATATTTACATGTAATTCATCACTTAAATACTTACTATCTGATTCGTCTTCATTTCTTTTTTTTTATGCAGAAACACAGAGTTTATTGCTAAGAAGAATGTAATGTATTATTTATTTATTTTTTTAAAAAGTGTATACTTATATTTTACCACTGTACATAGATTTTAGTGTGTTGGCGTGGTTTCAAGTGTTTTGTATATAGATTTTTTTTTTTTGTGCGTAGTATGTTTAACTAATATTTTCTTTCCTTTTCCTTTTCTTTATTTTCACTTTTTATGTTTGATTTTACTTAGGCCAGATATAATACTTGGTTTTGTACTTTTTTGTTATTCTAAAGGGACTTCGTCCCAAAATAAAATTATTTTCTATTCTATTCTATTCTATCCAAACGAAGGAAAGAGAACAGATTTATTTTTCATTATTTAGTTATTGCCTATGAGATACTGGAATCGGGATTCGACCAGACTTGGTTTGAAGAATAGCGGTCGGTTACTCCGGTTCTATAGTAAATAATTTAATAGCATTTTCGTTAGTACCATTCGTTTCAACATAGTAAGTGGTGTTTATACCCTTTTGTTTTATAGCTATTATTGAAGAAACCTAAATAATTTTTAGCATTATCAATTTTTTTTTAAACCTATTTATTGAAAAATATTACAATCTGTCTCAAGGACATTTATAATAGTGTTCACAGAGCACATTCACACTCTATGTACAATAAATAAGAATAAAATAACCTAAAAATAAATAAATAAAACGAACACATACATACCTATATACAATGGCATTATTAATAAAATGTTTTAATTTTCATCCGACCGAATAATGAATTAAAATATTAAGTTCAACAAAAACAAATAATAATAATAAAAGAACAACTTTATCGATGGCAGACAATGAAAATGAAAACATTTTAGTATGCTTTACAATGGAAAATAAGAGTTTAATAAATAATAGTCGTACAATTCATAATCATTTATAGGTTAAATATACAGATGTACTTTCAAATCTCCCTAGGCAGATATAGCTCAGAGACTGAAGTTATGTGGTTTACAAACACAAATGAAGATAAGAGGTTTTTATTTTGATGTCTTCGCTGTAAACTTTATGCTTTAGCACCGTTGAAATGCATTTCATTATATTTGTAATAGCCCCACATTACCAGAAAATAATTTCAAAATGGTAAGTAAAAGTTGTGTGATGTGCGAACTTTTTTGAGAAGATTGACCCATCAGATTTCGTTCGGCATTAACGCACGGGTAAAGTCGGCAAGAATCGACTTAGCATTTTTACAAATGGATTTCAGAATGGATGAAAGAAAATTGTTTAGCATTTCATTCTCCCTATAATAAGCTTTAATTCAAAATTGTATCGAAACGCGACGCCGTGTTAGGGAAAAAGAAAAAAATAGTGTTGAAAACCAAATGATAAGGTTAGTTGAAGATATGGATTAAAATATTTCAGATAATAAAAATCGGATCTGTATAATATAAGCGAGGGAAATGTTCAGCATTTCATCTTCTTTTCAATGAGCTATTATTTATAATTTATATTTAATATTACCCCCATACCAGACTGAAACGACTAGAAACCGCCCGACGTTTTCGACTACTGCAGCACTTACTAGACGAACGCTCTAAGCTTTCAATCAATTACAAACGACTCATATATATGACAATAATAAGACCTATTTGGACTTACGGAATTGAGCTTTGGGGCTCCACTAGACTATCGAATTCCTCTCGTATCCAATCCTTACAATCCAAAATCCTTCGTAAAATCATCAACTCTCCTTACTTTGTCACAAATAAAATCATCCATAAAGACCTTAATGTTCCATATATTTCCGATTTGGCCCAATCCAGATACCTATCCTTCCATAACAAACTGCAGAACCATCCGAATCCTCTCGTTTCAAACCTTGCTTCCTCCTCGATCCCTGATAACCCTCCGAGACGTCTGAAAAGAAGATGGCCTCGGGACCTTCTAATATAGAACTTTAATTTGAGTTCTACCAATGGGTAGTTTCTCTTCATGTTGTACATGTCATGTTACCAATGTCACATTTACTTATTGTATTTTCTATGTAATACAGTTGTAAATTTCATTAAAATAAAACAAATATTTAATATTATTAATCACGGCTTGTCGTCTAAAGAACACACCTTAGTTGTTTTTTTTTTTAAACTAAGTATTGAAATACTGGCTGAAAATTTTTAAATAGCAAATCATATACTTTTTTCACGAGGTGTCGGGATAATACGAATCGACAGCCATCAAATCTGCATATAAAGAATGAAAATGAGGAGAATAACCAATATTAGCATATATATAAGTTATGTGTGGTATGAATTGGGTTCTACCCCTCCCCCCCCCATTAGAATTAGGTTTGGCAGGATTACTGGAAGACCAGCCTGGAGCTGGAGAACTCCCAGGAAGGTTCCGCTTTCTGCTCCGCGGTGTTTTACATAATCCCGTTCCTGTTTGAAGGAGGGCCGCGGTCTATTTCAATTATACTCCAGCGGCCGGTCCAGTTTGGCTAAGCCCGCTGATGTGGAATTCGGCTAATACTGTTAAAAGGGCTCCGTTCTTAGTGTGTACTAGTGCCACACTCTACACGGTAATTAGGCAGCTGTAACGTTTGGAATATTTTCTACTTAGTTTAATAATAATATTTTTTAAGTACAATCTCTTGTACATTCTCTTGTAAGTACAATTGGTAGATTATATTTCTAATTCTTTAGAATCTAAAAATTATTGCCCTGGAGTTTTTCTTGACATTAGTGAAGCCTTTGATAAAGTTTGACATGAAGGATTACTTTCCAATCTTAAAATTTTCTTCCTCCGACCTACTATCTAATATTAGTTTCATATCTAACGGATAGACATTTTGTAGTAAAAGTAGAGACTTTTAATGTTTAATGTTCTGACATTAAACCTATTAAAGCAGGAGTACCTCAGGGTAGTGCCCTTGGACCAATATTGTTTAATATATATTAATGTCTGACCTACCGGAACACTTTTGCAGACCTCAGCTTAAATAAAAACCCTGTTCGAGTATCTAACTCTTCAAAATCATTTGAAAGATATTGCAGATTGGGCCTCAAGGTGGAAAATTAAGATGGATGAAAAAAACAGTATGCATGTAGTATTCACCAACATTAAAAAGTTCAGTCCTTTCAGTCAAAAATGATGTTGCGAAGGATAGTTGACACACCATTTTAAGTCGGAAATGATACACTACATAAAGACTTAAACATACCTACAATTTTAGATACTGCAAAAGAGAACTACAATAACTTTCACCAAAGACTGGCGTACAACATGAATCCCCTGAAAGAAATCCTTCATCGTACAAGAAACCCGTACAGCCCACTACGACGTTTACGTAGGCGTTGACCAAGAGGCCTGCTGATCTGATTTATATCCCGGACGTGATGGGAAGCTCTCTCAGATATTGAAGTTACATAATTTAGATGGTTTACTATCCCTGGCAGGTTGTGGATAGGGCCATGACTTCCAGATCTTAAGGCCACAGGTTCGAATCCGGCTGATAACAGATTAATGTGTGGTCTAGACCTCAGTTCAGAGCGTATGATAAAAGTTCAGTCAGTTTATAGTTAGTGATTTTCGCAGTTTTTAGAAGGAGTTCGGTCATAATTTTTGGTTAGAACCAACTATTAATCGTGTTATATCCACAGACAGGAAAGATTCTTCAATACAACGCCGTTTCACGTCAGAAGAAGAAAGGAAAAATCATAATTTTAGTCGGCTTAAGGTATTTATTGCAGGCATTCTAGATAAGAATATAGGTGGGGAGCGCATGCGCATAAATAGGACTAGGTACTAGATATCTCAGTGTTTCCAGTGACGAGGTTGGGATAACGTCAATTTTTTTACCACGTTACTTACGTAATTTTTTTTTTTCTCTTTCTTCTTTTCTCTCGCTTATCAAGATGGTTTTATGCCCAATCTGTAAACAGACCATAGCAAGAGAAGAAAAAAAAACAATGGCATGCACTGTCCCAACATGTCAAGCCATTTTCCATGGAAAATGTCTAAACGCAGACGAGAGTGAGTTTGAAGCACTGAGGGCATTACGAAAAAATTGGGAATGCCCGAAATGTGAAAAGGCACGGAAAAATATCCAACCGACAGACAAGTGTCTCAGCCCGCCAAGATCGGCGCCACAACAACAAACTGTCGACAGCACGTCACAACTGTTACTTGCTGCCATTAAAAATTTAACAGAAGAGGTCAAGGGATTAAAATTCTCCCTCGATGCCAATGCTAACGAGGTGAAAGAATTAAAAATATCTCTCGAAAAGCAAGCATCCATAACTTTTGAGAATGCGGCGAAATTAGACTCTATAGAGTCACTACTGGAGGCTCAAAATTCCAAGATTGACGGACTGGTCTTGGAAAACACGACTCTCAAGTCTCGGGTCTCGGAGCTCGAAATCAGGCTCAATAAAAGTGAGCAACTGCACCTTTCCAGGTCAATAGAAATAAGAGGAGTCCCAGTGAGATCTGGAGAGACCCCGATGGGCCTGGTTATGAGCGTGGGGGCGGGCCTGGGCCTTAGTCTAAAGGTGGAGGACATTGACTATGCAGAACGGATAAGAAACAGGCAAGACGATACACCTGGGCCGCTTGTGGTAAGGTTCGTCCGGCAGTCGCTTAGGGATGAGTTGATCCAGAGGCGAAAAGTCATTAGGGATTTTTCAACACGTCACCTCGGATGGCAAGAAAATGACGCCCACAAGATCTACCTGAGCGAAGCTATGTCCGTAACCAACAGACACCTGTACTGGCTGGCCCGGCAAAAGAGGTCTGCAGGAAAAATCAGGTACAGTTGGTTTAGCGCAGGCAAGGTGAAATGTCGACGAGACGATGGACAGCAGGTCGTCGTCATCAACTCACCATCAGATTTAGAAACGTTTGCTTGACATGCATATACATGTTACAACACTTTGAACAATTTTGTTTTTACTTTTTTATATCCCCAGTTTTATGTTTTTGTTGCGTTTGTTTTAATAATAGACTATGATAATAATTTCATTTTTGTTTATGAGAATATTTTAGGTCTGATCTGTCCAGAAACTCTAATTTGTGTATTTTTTTTCTTTTGCACAATAGGAATATGCTTTTCGTTAACTAAATTTTATATTTTTTGTTTACCATCCTTATTAATATCTAGGAGATCTTGCACACAATTGGCTCTAGCTGCTGTAGAAATATTCCTATCCTTAACTCCTTCTGTCCGTTTACCAAGCCACCCCTCCTTCTTCCATGACTAATATCCTTCTAACCTGCCACGTCAACGCTCAGTCACTCTTAGCCCATTTTGATGAATTTTACGACTTTTTTCTCCATAACTTCTACCATTTAATTGCCGTATCCGAAACCTGGTTGAAACCCACAATCCCGTCCTCCCAGATCCTTCTACCTAACTATACTCTCCTTCGTCATGACAGAGTAGATCGCACGGGTGGTGGAGTAGGTCTCTTTGTCCATGACAGTCTCAAATCCAAAATTCTTCACTGCTCTTCCATAACCGATTCTCCGCACGTTGAATACCTTTTCGCCGAAATCCTCACCACCTCATCTGCCATTCTGTTTGCTGTCATATATCGCCCTCCTAGAATTCCTTTCGATGAATCACTTGAGACTTTATTGTACAACTTAATCCCTTCCTACTCAAACATCATCCTCTCCGGTGACTTTAACACCAATTTACTGGCACCATCCTCTGATTATTCCTACCTAACAAACCTCTTTAATTCTCTCAGCCTTTACATAGTACCCTACAATCCAACCCATCATACTCAGTATTCAGAGTCCTGGCTCGATCTAATTATCCTGGATTCCTCAGACAAACTCCTTGCCGCATCTCAGCACCCGGTTCCGTTTCTATCTTCCCACGATCTTGTCCAGATCTCTTACAATGTCCCTGTTCCATCCTTTTCTCCCCGAACAATATCCTTCCGAAACCTAGATTATCTCACTCACGAAACATTGTCAGAAGGTCTTGACGATATCCAGTGGGATCCCATCTACTCCTCAAAATCCATAGACACCATGGTAGAAATCCTAACCACTCAACTTCACTCTATCCTCGACCGACATGCTCCTCTTATCACAAAAACCATCCGATATCCTCCAGCTCCTTGGCTTACCCCTGCTTTGAGGGAGTGTATGAGAGAAAGAGATGCTGCAAGGCGACGGTTTAAACGAACTCGACTTCCTGATGATTTTCTCTCCTACAAACAGCTTCGAAATAGCACTCAATCAGCAGTACGCCGTGCTAAATCCCGTTACTACCATCATTCCCTATCCAACTCTCCCAATACCAAGGCTACGTGGGCTATTCTTAGAAAACTGACCATTGGTAATACACCCCAGTCTCAGTCCAATTCCGTTTCTGCTGATAACCTCAACGCTCACTTTGTCTCCTGTCCTCTTGCATCCACATCTCCCACGTCCAGTCTGGCTCCTATGTTCTCTTCCTTTAATCCTGATCACTTCTTTCTTTCCCATATTACACCAGATGAGCTCCTTAAATCCATTCAGAAGTCCCATACCAATGATTACGGTCCCGACAACATCCCAGTCAGACTGATTAAAGCCGCATTGCCATCCATTCTTCCGATCCTTTATCATATATACAATTATTCTCTTCAAAATGCTACCTTCCCTACATCCTGGAAAACCGCCCTAGTACGCCCATTGAAGAAGACTTCAAACCCATCAGTTCCTAATGATTTCCGACCGATTTCCCTCCTTTCAAACCTCTCAAAACCATTAGAGCGGTTAGTCCAATCCCAGCTATCCCATTTTTTAGAGGACAATAATCTCCTAAATCCCTACCAGTCTGGATTCAGGCCTGGTTATTCTACTCAGTCTGCCCTAATCAAAATTTCCCAAGACCTTCACACAGCCATAGATCAGCAGAAACTAACCATCCTTATTCTCCTAGACTTCTCCAAAGCTTTTGATTCAGTAGACCACAACATCCTCCTAACCAAACTTAAAAATATCTCTTTTTCTTCTAGTTCCCTTAATTGGTTCCAATCCTTCCTAACCGGTCGCTCCCAGTACGTTGTAATTCCTAATAACCCACCATCAGAATCTCTACCTCTGACCAGAGGCGTCCCACAAGGCTCTTCCTTATCCCCCACCCTTTTCTCCATCTATATAAATGACCTCCCATCCTCTATCCTGCACTGTCATTACCACCTGTATGCCGACGACATTCAAATTTACCTCTCCTTTAATCCGACAGATATCTCAGATGCCACTCAAAAACTTCAGGAAGATATTGACAGAATAAGTGCTTGGGCAAACCTCAATAGGCTCACTCTGAACGCCGAGAAGACAAAAGCCATCTTGATCGGATCCCCTTCACTCCTCAAATCCTCCCCAGTATCTCCCAATCTCTTCCTGAACAACTCACCTATCTTATTCTACACCACCGTTAAAAACCTAGGTGTTACTTTCGATCAATCCCTATCCTGGAAACCTCACATCTCCCAAATTTCCCGTCGCACTATCTCCACCCTAAAACAGTTCAATCGTCTACGATATCTCCTTCCATATAAGTCCCGTCAACTCCTAGTTTCCTCCCTTGTTTTCCCCCACTTCGACTACGGCTGTATGGTGTACGGTGGACTCCCGGGAGATTCCGAGGCCAAACTTAAACGCCTAATGAATTGCGCACTACGATTTGTTTTCGGAATCTCAAGGGATACGCATATTACCCAGTATTACACTGAGTTGAGGTGGCTCTACCCATCCTATCGCCGTCAGTACTTCCTAGCCACCTTTCTGTACCAAATTATTAGAACCCATCGACCCTCCTACATTTTTCACAGCTTACAATTCAAATATTCCATCCAATCCCGTCCCACCAGATCTCGTACTTCCGACCTCTATCCTCCTCCTCACCGAACTGCTGCGTTTGACAAATCCTTTGCAATACAAGCCGCCTCCCTCTGGAATTCCATCCCACCTGATATTCGACACGCTCAATCAGTTTCCTCGTTTAAACCACTCCTCTTTAAGCACCTACTCCTTTCTCAATCCGAATGATTGTGAAATATATCTCAGAGAAATATCTGAGCACCACCAGAGAGTACCTCAATTTATTAAGGTTATTTTAGTTTCTCATACATATGTACAATTTACTTGTTCTTTTTTTTCTCTTTTCTGTATTTTTATCGTAAGTCAACTTTCATTGTAAATATACAATTCAATTGTAGCCACACAGACATATAATCTGTATTCATATTTTGTTCTTAAGGGACAACAGTCCCAGAATAATAAAACATTTTTTTCATTTTTTCATTTTCATTAATTATTTATTCTGTTTCATCGGCCGTGGGTCAATCCTGGTATCAGAAAATCGCCCTAGGGCACTCCCTGCCTCTATAAAGTGGATACCCTTAATTAAATAATTAATTAAGGAGGAAAACTTGGCGGTTGAGTACGATCTCGGTCAAATCATCTTGCGCATCGTTGACCAAGAAACAGTACTTCCCAACATGTACATTTTTTTTTTTAATATTCCCTTAAATTCAACAAACTCATTTTAAAAATGAATTATGATCGTCTATTTGCAAAGACTTTTTATTGAAACCATGGAATATTAGCAGTAGAAACTTTGAAAGTACAATCAATTTTTTGTTAACTTTGTTAAGGTTATTTAACCATCATATCTTTGGTCTCTATGCTGAATTGAAATTTTATTGAATCCAGGTAATATTTGGTTTAGAGATAAAAGGGCAAGAATTTAAAGGAAACGTTTATGTAATAATATCTTGGCTTAATCGAAAATCTTTACCGATTTTTTTCAGTTATATTTATAGAAGTGAAAACTTCTTCATTTTGTTTGAATGTTTAAAAAAATGCCTGAAGATAGATTACCAAAGGACGATTACTTTTCGAAAATTTACAGAAGAAAAAGATAAGATCGGCCCAGGTAATCGCAGGATAAGCAAATAAAAGATTCTATAATAAAATATAGTTGACAACAGAAATGAAACCCGGGCAGAAAAATATGGAAGGAGACCTAAGAAAATTTATTCATGAGAGAAACACATTGCTATATGGAAAAATCCTAAATAAAAAAAATGAGATTCAATTATTTAGAATAAGACAATAGTTGACTATACGAATTTTTCATTGGCTTTATTGGTTTTAGTGAACAGAGCTTGCAAGGGCCATCTACCTCAGATAACTTAGAAATTAATTATATATAATTGTATACAATAAACTTCATAGAAACAAAATAATACACGATACCTGTAATTGGCATGAACAATAGGATAATTAATCAGCCCAAAACGAAGGATGATAACATTTTGTAATTCACATCAATAATATTAATTTAGGATCTGATAATAAGTTTATTATAGGTTATGCTTGCTTATTATCCTGGCCTAAGTAATCTACAGTTATCTGATGCGGGGACGTATCAAATAATTGTTGGTTAGGAATCGACCATAATGATCCCGTTATTTAGAGTTTCTACGTTTCCAGTTTGCGATTAGAAATATTTATATAAATGTCCATAATTTTTATTATAATTTTTTTATCAGCAACGTTTTTCGACAATCAACAGAATATCTGATGGAAATAATAAAAAAAATAACATATCAGACGTGCGGAAGGATAAGTTCCTGCAGATATAATTACCACGGTTTGTTAAAGAAGATCTCTCATCCTACGCCTTTTCAGTCTTCATCTCATGTTAGTCGGCTGAAGTCATACCTCAGATTAGTATGTCCGTGAATATTAGTATGAAATCACTGAATACATACATAATATGTATGTGTTTTGTATTCATTGTTTAATATTCATTGCGAAAGAATAAAGTATTTATTATTTTCATTGTATGTAGATTGGTACAATTTATCTTTATCTCTCCTACTTCAACTCAAAATAAAATTTCCAATTGAATTAAAGAATGGCAGTGGCCTCGAGATGTTTTGTAAACACGTCATTGGAGTTCTAGCTTCTCCACTCAAGTCATGAACGTATGTGGCTTTAGTGCCCTCACTCAGTCTCCACTGGATACCTATCTGAGTTACGCGGCTGAGAGAGAAGCGCTGGGATCCCTTAAAGTCTTGCATTGGGGGCTTCGTTACTTTAAAGCTCCCTCGGCTGTCTGTAAATATTGTAAATAAGTATAAATATGTTTTTTATATTTTTATATAATGTTGTCTCATATTTTATTTCTTCTGTTTTACTAAATTTTCTTTTTATTTTATTTTGTTACAATTTTTCTATTTTTTTTTTGTTATTATATATATGTTATGAATGAATCTCTTAAATCTCAAATACTAATGCTCTGAACTAAGGCAAAATGTATTTTTTTTCTCAACAAATAAATATTTCAAAACAAAAAAACAAACTAAAAGTAACATAGAAGCAATAGATATTAGTTTAGTTAGTACATAGGCGGTTGACCACTAACTGTAGAGGAAAACTGATATGCAATTTTATTTAATTTTGGAGGAATAGACCTGACAATATTAGCCTAAAATAAACTTTTTTTTTATTTCTTAATGACATTTACAACTGTATTACATAAATACATCAAGTAAATTTGGACATAAAGATATAATGACATGAATACACTTGCTGAGTAACTACCCAATGGTAGCACTCTAATTATATGATTACATTAGGAGATCACGGGGCCATCTTCTTTTCAGACGCCTCGGTGGGTTATCAGGAATTGAAGAGGAAGCAAGGTTAGAAACGAGAGGGTTGGGATGATTCTGAAGTTTATTATGGAATGATAGGTATCTGGATTGGGCCAGATCTGAAACATAAGGAATATTAAGATCTTTGTGGATAATATCATTAGTGACAAAGTAAGGAGCATTGAGGATTTTACGAAGGATTTTGGATTGTAAGGATTGAATGCGAGAGGAATTCAATGGTTTAGTGGAGCCCCACAGCTCAACTCCGTAAGTCCAGATAGGTCTTATTACAGACAAGTATATGAGTCTTTTGTAATGTATGGGAAATTTAGAGCGTTTGTCTAGTAAGTGCTTTCAGCACTGTCTAGTAAGTGCTGAAGTAATTGGAAACGTCGAGTGGTTTCTTGTCGTTTCAGTCTAGTATGAGGATTCCAAGTCAGTCGTTTGTCCAGGTGGAGTCCTAGGTATCGGATTTGCTTAACAGGGATAAGTGGAGTATTGTTAAAGGAAGCTATAGGACAGGAAGTCGTTGGTTTACGACGAAGGTTAAGGTAATCTGGTAGAATTTATTGGAGTTTATTTTCATTCTCCAGTTTTGACACCATTCTTCTAGATTTATGATGTGTGATTGAAGGATTTGGGATGCAATTTCTGGGTCATTGTTTACTGATAGGATACATGTGTAATCGGCATATGTGGTGATGACAGTGTTGGGACAGGTAGGGATAGGATAGGGGTCAGCTGTATAAACTGTATGTAGGATACTACCTTGAGGAACACCAGCGGACTGGAAAACTGAAATAAATTAGTTATCTATTTTAACGTACTTCCATTACTCTGTGGTACCTTCCTGTATAATTCGTTACACTTGTTAATTCTTTCAGCTGATACTTTCAGTGATTCGCTTAGGTGACTTCTACAAAAGTAGTAAAAAAAAATCCGGACGATATAAGATAAAGAGAGGATATTTGACCGAAACTACTAAGTTTACTCATTTGTGGCCTACTTTGCTATTATTTGTAGAAAAAGATCGCTAGATAGTTTTGAAAGAACCTGACGTGCATATCTGTTAGAAAATCGGATAAACAAATAAACTAAACTTGATATCAGTTGGCAATAATTATTAGGAAACTTGGTACAAAGCTATAACAACTTATAGTACTTTGTGTCTGAGGCACGTTTTGTAATCACGAAGCTATTCGTGATTTTCTTATCATGGAGGAAACTTTAGATTATCTTACAATTCTATTGCTATATAATATGCCCCGGCACAAGAAACAGGAAGGTTTTCAGTTTTCAAAAAACTTCACTGCTATCACAATGCATAATAATTTAATTAAAAATATTTAAGTAAACAAAAAAAATTAAACAAACCTTATATAAACAATAATCTTACTTATCCAAAATTTTAAGACTAACAACAGCAGCATGGTACGCAAACAACTAATTTTATATGTCAAAATTTTTATTTTTATGAAATCACTGATTTATTCGTACCTACAGTATTATCTCTTTAAAAAGAAAAATCCAACTGAAGATCAGTACATTTTTATTCATTATTATTAATTCATTGTTTAACTTATGTTTATTTAACGTATGGGATTGACAGTTGGCACATATTATGGAGACTTCAATCTTCACATCCAGAAGACACAGATTTATGTGAACTTATTTTAAATTCAGTGATTTCTTTTACTCTCACTTAACTATATACGTAATATATAGTAAAGTAAAGTATTGCAATAGTGACAATTTTTAAATTTGTGTTTTCAACGGGAATACACCTTTTGAGGTATCCTGAGTCTAAATAACCATGTCCCACAAAATCGTCAGTGCGTGTGTGTGCTTTAACAGTCTAGCTAAAAAACGTAAAGTCGTACTAAAGTGAAATTGCATATTTAAGGTTTTTATATAGGGAAGTTACAGCAACATTTTCGTCAAAATCGGATAACCAGAAGTGGCACTTTATATGATGGACTAAACACATTTTTACGATTTTCTCGCAAACGGCTTTAACGATTTTAATTAAATTCATTATGTCAGTGTAAAATTTAGCAGTTTTGAATAAAATATGGTTTTTATTCTGTCTCTGGTTCAAATACAGTCTAGCTCAAAAACTAAAAGTACGAAACTGCAAATAAGTTAAGTATATACCTGGGATGTTAAAGCAACTTTTTCATTAAAATCGGCTTACTGGAAGTGCCACTTTAGATCATCGGTTTTACACATGTTTACAATTCAAATCCGTTTATTACAAAAAGTGATTTTTTCATTTGTGAAATTCCAACATTATCCCAGCTTAATAGTTGTACAATACTACTAATATTACGATACTTCTGTTTCGATCCTCAAATTACTTGTCTCCAACACTGTCATCACCACCTATGCCGATGACACGTGTTTCCTATCAGTTAATAACGATCCATCTATTGCATCCCTAACTCTTCAATCATACATCACAAGCCTTGAAAAATGGTGTCAAAACTGGAGAATTAAAATAAATTCCAATAAATCCCATCAAATAACTTTCACTCTTCGTCGTAAACCTATGACTTCCTGTCCTACAGTATCCTTCAATAATAGCCCTCTTATCCCTGTCGAACAAATCCGATACTTAGGATTCCACCTTGACAAACGACTCACTTGGGACCCCTATACCAGACTGAAATGACTAGAAACCGCCCGACGTTTTCGACTACTGCAGCACTTACTAGACAAACTATCTAATCTTTCAATCAATTATTTACGACTCGTATATATGACAATAATAAGACCTATTTGGACTTACGGAATTGAGCTTTGGGGCTCCACTAAACCATCGAATTCCTCTCGTATCCAATCCTTACAATCCAAAATCCTTCGTAAAATCCTCAACGCTCCTTACTTTGTCACAAATAAAATCATCCATTAAGACCTTAATGTTCCATATGTTTCCGATTTGGCCCAATCCAGATACCTGTCCTTCCATAACAAACTGCAGAACCATCCGAATCCTCTCGTTTCAAACCTTGCTTCCTCCTCGATCCCTGATAACCCTCCGAGGCGTCTGAAAAGAAGATGGCCTCGGGATCTTCTAATATAGAACTTTAATTTGAGTTCTACCAATGGGTAGTTTCTCTTCATGTTGTACATGTCATGTTATCAATTTCACATTTACTTATTGTATTTTATATGTAATACAGTTGTAAATCCCATTAAAATAATAAAAAAATATTAAAAAAAAAAATTACTTGTCTAATATTCTTGAAATAAGCCGCCAGCGGCTCTAGAACGGCAGACAAGGTTCTTTTTATTCAGAATAACATTAGCTTTCGTAATTTACAATCAAACCATAAAGCTCCAGGGTAGTTATCCAGCATGAACTTATTATCATGTACCTTTGCTTCTACTACCCTTCTTGATTAATAAAAACAATATAATAAATAGATTATTAGCAATATTAAAGAACAACTAACTGTCTAGAAACGTTTTGAGACAGTGTATATAACTAACATTATATAATATCTAATTGGGTTAATCAATAATATGTAAATGATATCCGCCTTAGAAAATACTTCTTAACATCTTAATAGATTCTTGTTCTGCATTGTTAACGATACCGACCTGTTCATACTTTTTTTTTTTTAAGAAGATAAAGAAACAACATATAAAACAAAACAAATAATAAGACAATTTATAGTTTGACGCAGCGATAAAACAAACGATACCATCTCTTCAGTCGTCTAATTATTCCATCCAATGCAGAAAGCTGTAGCGCCTGAAATATTATCAAATATTGTGGAAAAAGTCACGCAGCGCAGGACTGTAATGCGGCACCAGTCTATCCTTTAATCTTAAGGGGCTAGTGTCGCTTTGTGTTTATCACTGCAATAAACTCGAGCTACAAATTTTGTTTTATTTCGATTCTAAAATGAAGATGCATAAAATTATTAGAATGATACTAAAAAATATCCTAAATAATATATTTTCTATTTGTATAAATTTAATAATATTTTTATAAAATTGCCTAAGATGTCTACTAAAAATGTTCAGTAAAAATCAAACATATTTTTTTGTCAACTTTTCAATTATAAAATACAATTGTTTTATAAAAAATCCTATCAGGAATTTTTAATTTATTTAGTCCCGTAGTTGCGTATAAATAGCAAAAATAATAATGACGTAAATACCGCAAATCTTCCAATCGAAATTGTTCCAACTCATAACAAAAGTACCATAGTACGAGACTAACAAAACTCTACATACTGACCAACATATAACGACCCTTTAACAACTATTTTATACTAATTTAAATGGTGCATTTAAACAGATTAATAAAAGGCATGGCCACAGCGGACATACTCAGAACATGAGGGGGAGACTAAAAAGGCGTTGGATGAGAGATCAATTCCTTAAACAACCTAACTAATTGAAACAAATCAGGGAAGAGGTACTGTTGAGTACTTTCCTTTTCCATACCTGACATGTCATTTATATCATATTGTATTTCCAGCACATTTGCTTATTAATACCAAATAGTTGACCGACGCAAATAAATTTGTATATCCAAAAAAAAAAGGTAAATATCGGAAAACTTTTCTGAATATTATAAACAATTAAATGGTTTGACGAATTCCCCAAATAAAATTATCCATAAAGACCTCAACATTCCTCTTGTGGAAGACTTGGCCCGAACTAGATATACTTCTTTTCATTCCAAACTCTTTGCTCCTCTAGTTTGTAATCTTTCATCCAACACAATTCCTGACAACCCTCCGAGGCGTCTAAAAATAAGATGGCCAAGGACGTCCTAAATTAATTTATTTTTGAAGTGTTACCAATGGGTAGCTTCTTCACAAGTACCTTCATGTAATATATTCCTATAGCAGATTTAATAGTTGTATTATATTTACAGTTGTAAATTTCAATAAAATAATAAAAAAGAAAAAAAAAGTTTATGGTACTGTAAGTTATCTAACTTGGTTTGTTAAGATTGTACGCTTAAGTATTGGTTGAATTGTCGCTAAATTATCAGTAGCCTTGCTTTCCCTCCACATGTGGGGGGGGGATGAGCCGACTGTAAATAGTGTAAATAGGTATAGCTGCATCTAAGATGTTTATTTTCATTACTTTTTTTTTTTTTTAAAGATAATTTTAATTCTATTTTATTTTAATTTTTGCCGACGTTTCGGCCCACTTTGCAGGTCGTCTTCAGGGCGTAGGTTGTGGCATTGCGGGAGGCAGTTGAAACACTGGCCAGTGTTTCAACTGCCTCCCGCAGTGTTTCAACATCCACATCCTACCCCTGAAGACGACCTGCAAAGTGGGTCGAAACGTCGGCAAAAATTAAAATAATTAATATATTTTAATTTTTTATTTATTTGACCGCACCCTCGACTAACTCCTTCTCATATTAATTCTATTTTATTCATTTATTTTTATTATTTATATTTTCTTCCTTCACTATGATATTTTATTTTGTTCTTGTTTAGTTTTATATTATTTGAAATTAGCTTTTTTATTTTTGAATTTGTCAATATGGTGTGAATGTGCTCTCAGAACTCTATTATAAATGTCCTTTATTGAGACAGATTGTAATATTTATCAATAAACAAATAATGCAGTAAATTATCAGTGCCAATGAAATTATTGGTTCTTCGCCATCTACTTTGAGTTTGAATTTTTATTTTAAAAAGTAATTACATTTACATCTTTATCACATTCATTTTGTCCGTGACAATATTTTAACTGCAGTTCGAGATAAAGTATTTTTTTCAATAAACATCTTCAAAAGTTAAAGTTCAGTGACCTATAGTAGTTACTCGTCACCAAAGGAAATAGTAAAGAAGCTATACTGACACCGATCGACATACGTTTTTTTTAAATAAAAGTCGATTTTCCATAATTCCACACTGAATATTACTTTGAGTTATATCTTTTATTACGACTCATTCTGAAGGATGATTTCTTACCGGCAGGATCTGTGCCTGCATTCTACTGATAAGG